AAATATATATATATATATATATTAGAAAAAACTAGTCTAACTCCATAGTTGCATGAAAAGCAATGTTAGGCCTATCTAAGATTAAAGCTACTATGTAATACATTGCGTGTGACTCTTTTCTAGATCATTTGCCTATCTTACAATCAAAGATAGAGCACCACAGATCTTGACTAAGGCAATTGACACATTGCATCGACACAAAAATGAATTTTTTGAGAAACATGGAGAGGTAAGAATTGTGTTTTAATTTTCTTTTTTTGGTTAATTCTTCAACAGAGTAACAGTGGTTCTTGAAGACTTTAGCTTTTGTGTAAAATGTGAGAATGACTACCTGGGCCAATGGTTTTAATGTTACATGTTGAAAGCAAGTGTAATCATGTGGTCATCAAGGGAGGCACAGCCAATCTCCAGTTTAATGTGTTCTAACAATTTAATCTGTCAACTAATTAGACCTGAGAACATATTTTCGAATATATACAATGTTAAAAATGGTATATACAATGTTAAAAATGGTGTCTTGCGTTGTTCACTTGCTGAGAAAAGCTTTTTAAATTTCAAACTCAGGTGAATTAGACTATATTACTAATTTGAGAGCTGCTATGCAAAACTCAAAAGGTGATAACAAATTATGATTGACACATTATGTGATTAGAGACTTAAAGACTGGCTGGATGCTAGAAATCACCTCATCTGTTCAGTTATAGGGTGAAAAACAATTTCAAAAACTATGCTCTTGGAGGCAGAGGTCTTTAAAGTTGCAAGTCCAGTAACATGCACACACCAGCACATTGTTTTGAGGGGTGACAACAGATATTTAGAGAAATGGTGGTCTTCTCTTGGCCAAAGTGAAATGGAGCAAGAGAGCACACTGGCTGTAAGGCTTTTCTTTCAATCTCTCGTATCTCCTCCAAGCCAATCCTGATGTAATGCAGGATCACCTTTGGCTCTTTGCTGCTGAAATCTAACTAGTCTTGAACGCTGACTTTCCGGTGTTTATTACATAAGCATGGTTTCGTTTTGATGGACGTACATGTTTACCACTAAAGTATAATACAGGCAAATTTGGAAAGGTTGCTGGAATGTTTTGTCATATGTGTAAACAGATTACCCTAAGTTCTCTAGTAGTTGCAGTTGTTTTGACTGGAGTGACCTAAAATGTCGTCATTAATGGAGTCAGTATCCCGCTGCTTGGCCTGTGTGTCCTAATCCCCAGGTGGCCGTGCTGGCTAAGAGTGAGAAGAGGACCTGTTGTCCTGCCCGCCCTTCCCTTTTTCCCATTCTCCTGGGTACAGGATGAGACCCACGAAAATGTTGACACAAGTCATGTCTGCTCTGGGTGGCCTTTCTGTGTCTTTTGTGCTCCTCTCATATCTGTGCCATCTCAGGAGGCCTGCGTTTTCCCAGCTCCCTGAGCCCTGAGCCCCCAGCACAGCAGGACCACACTTCTCCCCAGAGGAGCCACGCAGGACGCTTCACAGGCCCATCCCTGTAGGCTGGTTTAAAGGGATGTGAGTCTTCTGGGGACGGGCTTGGCAGACATCCTTTGGTGACAGAACCGCACTTTATTCTTCCTCTGGCCCTGCGTGATGTCTGGCATGTAGGGAACTCGGGAAATGTTTGAATTGAATTGAAGCAAGTTGTCAAGCTGGCACTGACTTAGCCCTTATATAGGCATTTGTCTGTTAAAAAAAAAAGGTTGCTCACAACTGTACAGAACTCTTAGATGTGGAATTTAATGCTTATGAATTGAAATTGAAGACTTTTGGGTGGAGACTTGGTGGAGGGAGAGTTCCCTTTTTATGAAAATTAGCTCTGTTGGGACTCAGGCTCAGCGCCTAAAACCTTGTATTTTTTACAACCTCTTTATTTCTGAACCTGCAGAATCACTAAAGCTTCAATCTTTAGTTACAGGGGCAAAATAGATTCTATTTCGACAAAAAATGGGGGCTGGGATGTAGTTGTAGAGCACTTGCCTAGCATGGGCACAGCTTGGGTTGTATCCCCCAGTGCCACAAAAAAAAAAAAAAAAGAAGAAAGAAAGAAGACTGGAGATACCCGTATTGAGAGTACAATAAGTCTGAAAATAGAAAATAGAAAATAAAAAATTCCCTTAATATCAGCATGGTAATGATTTCATAAAAATATTTATTTGGTCTTGGTTATTTCCTATATATGTATTTTTTTTTCTCATTGAGTTTATTGGTACTTTTTAGGTATACAGTACAGTGGTTATTTCCTATATTTTGTTCTGAATCTGTCATATGTTAACTCTTCCTCTTTTTTTAATGAGGCAAAAATCTTGCAGGTATAAAACTGAAGTACTGTATTCTTTTGTTTTTAAATTAATTTTATCAATACATTTTAGATATACATAATGGTGACAGTTCATCGTTTGGAATTAGGTACCTTATTATTTTCGCTTTATTCTTTTTGAGACAGGGTCACACTTCCACCAGAGCGCTGGGATTACAGGCATGCCCCACACGTCCACTCACTTTATTCTGATCCCATCACATCTGTCCCTTCTCCAGTTAACCTGTTACATGTTGTAGCACTATTGTGCCTTGTTTATCAGGATCTCTCTCACCCATCAAACTTACAGAGAACAAGGGATAGAATGAGCTACCTGGAGAAACCTCAGGAGGCAGAATTCCTTTTCTAGTAGTGAGAGGCGTATAACGTGGAAGCATGAGAGTTGTGGAAAACCTAACAGTGGTTTCTTTTCCCTCTGTGGTAATGGTCAGCCCACCTGAGGATGCAGGAAGGCCAGAGCTGACAAAAAAGGCTGAGAGATAAGGTGTGATCAAGTTGCAATGAACTCTGTGGGTTTTGATTTTCAACTTCAGAATTCTAAAATGTCTACTGGTTTGTAAAAGACACAATATAATTTTGAAATATGGTATATTTCATACCTTAAATTTAGGTCTACAAAGATGTGTTACTATAGAAGAATTACACACACACACACACACACACACAATGTTTTTGTTATCTTTGCAGGAAGGTGTGGAAGCGGAAAAGAAAGCTATCTCTCTTCTTTCTAAATTACGGAATGAAATGCAAACAGATAAACCAATTGTCCCCCTGGTTGAGGACTGTGCTGATACTGACCTTTGGAATCAGCACCTAGAGTACCAGTGCAGTCTTTTAAATGAAAGCAACGAACAGCCAAGTTGGTTCCGCTCACCATGGTTGTTTGTGGAATGCTACATGTACCGTAGGCTTCATGAAGCAGTTATCCAGAGGTAAGTGTTTAACTGTTAAATAGAAAAGTTTAGTGAATTCACACTTTTTTGGAATTGTAAAAGGATGAGTTTGAAAATAAACAAATGGAACCCTGAATTCATTAGGGTTCAGCAAATATTAATGCCGCTGTTGGACATTTCCACAAATGACATCAATTTAATAGCTTCTTGGCAATTGTAATCCTCTTGCCTACAATAGACATAAGGTTGGCTAAATAGTATGAGCTTATTAAAGATTCTATAAAGACTTCTAGAATAGAACGGATTATACTTACTGAGCAAAGAAAGCTCATTTGAAATATATATGTATATATATAAAATCAAGATGGTACAAAGTAAGCATATGCTTTATTTAGAAATGGTGTATCACATTTTATTTGTTGTAAGGAACCATTAGAATAGTGAATTATTCTGTTGTCTCCCACACTGGCTTGTTAGTCCTATAGTTTGTTTTATTTTGCTTCTGATGGCTAAATTAGAAAAAGACTAAAAGTTACACATGGGTTCCAAATGGTTTTTAGAGCTTTTTTATACTATTTGATTTTTCCTAAGAAAATTCTGTTACAGAAGTGATTTATAATTCAAAAGAAAAGGTAATGTTGATTATCCTTTTAGCTCACAGTTTCAAAAGTATAGGTTTGTGGGCTGGGGATTTAGCTCAGTGGTGCCACTGACTGACTCACATAGTGCAAAGTCCTGAGTTCGATCTCTGGTACCAAAAAAAAAGTGTGATTTCAAAAGTATAGGTTTGCTATGTATCCTTTGGTGTACATTCTTAAATATAGCAGAGAATAATTTAACTGACTGAGAAAACATTTGCAAAATAAAATTATTTTGGGAAGTATATTGGCATTTTCTGTTTTAATATTTATCTTGTTTTTGGGGGAGGATACCAGGGATTGAACTCAGGACCTTGTGCCTGCAAGGCAGGTGGCAGAACCACTGAACTAAATCCCTGGCCCCTTCATAAATTATTTTTTTATCATAGTTTGTTGTTTTTGTCAAGTAGCGATGTTTAAAAACTGTTCTAAAGACAAAACATAGTCTTACAAACCTGGTATGCAGATGACTGTCAGCAGAAGCTGGGAGAAGCTGTCATTTGTTAAAAACTAGCCGTGTGCCAGTTACTGCACTTATCCTATGGCAGTGTGTATTTGAGGAGCTTCCAGATTAGGGCTATTATGAAGAATGTTGCTGTAAACACTGAAACACTTTTGTGGTGAACATATGTTTGTCTTTCTGTTGGGAATATACTTAGGAGTGAATCCCTGACTCAGAGGGATTCAGATACAGCTAGGGTAGATTCTCAAGTAGCAAACACTTTAAAGCTGGAAAATGTTATGTGTGTATATTTAAAATATTAATATATTTACATTGTACATATTTATGAGGTTTACTCTTTTAAATACAATTAAGATTCATTCTTAGGGCCGGGGATTTAGCTCAGTGGTGCCCCCGCCTGCCTCGCAAGTGCAAGGTCCTGAGTTTGATCCCCGGTATAAAAAAAAAAAAAAAAGACTTATTCTTAACATGAGTTGTGACTTTAATGATCGATTGTTAATAAAACCTAAGAACATGTGTTGGTCAGCCATTGACAGGGCCAAATAATAAATATTTTAGGGTTGATATGGTCTCTGTCTCAGACGCTCAGCCTTGCTGTTGACAGAACGTAGATGAATGAGCCCGGCTGTGTTCCGGTTCCAGTTCTTCTTTTATAGGCACTGAAATGTGAATTGCAGCATGTCATAAAGTAATGCTTTTCTTTTGCTTGGTTTTAACCTTCCAGACACGTAGAAACCATTCTTAGTTTGTGAGTCCACGAAACGGGTTAGCCTGCCTGGGTCTGTAGGCAGCCGTTTATTGACCCTGAATTGGAACCCATGCATCCAAATGGTTTTTATCCTTTTAAATCACCTTGAGAGTCAGACAGGTTTCAACAATGCTGTCACTGCTGAAAAGTACCTTTGAATTCTTTGGAATTTCTCTCAGAGCCAATTTATAAGCTATGAAAAGTAAGTTTCATTATTTTTTAGTCACTTCTTTTTAACTAAAAATGTTTTTATTAAACTTGATTATTTTGCACTCTTTATTCAGTTGAAATTGCTTTGAGTGACTTTTGAAGATAGGTGGTCACTGACATGATGTTCAATAATGTACCACATGTTCTGATGAAAATTCCCAAAGAGGATTCCAAAAGTGCTTTAAGTAATGGCAGCATCCTAGGAATAAAAGTATAACTTCCCATGGGCCTGACTGGCAGAAGGAAGCAGCCATCCTTTGGATGTATAAAGGCTGGTGTCTTTTTAAAAACAAAGAGTTTGGCCGGGGATTTAGCTCAGTGCTTCCACCACCTGCCTTGCAAGCACAAGGACCCAAGCTCGATCCCCCATACCAAAAAATAATAATAATAGTCATAAAAAAATAAAAACAAACAGTCTATGGGGGAAGGTGGCTGAGTTAGAACAGGAGATAATCCAAATTATCTACCCAATTCTGTAAAGGCGATTGTATTATTATTTACATCTTTGTCATATTCTTCAACAGATAGCATGAAGATATAGCCATAGCACAAATCCTCACCTTTGGCAAAAAATTAACATGACAGTAAAGGTCAACCAAAAACTGATCAGAGTTTGTCATTGCAATGAAACTTATGAGTATTAAGTCTGATTTATCTCAAGTACTTATTTTATTCCTACAATACTCTGGGTTTGACTCTCAGCGATTATTGCATTGCAGCCGTATGTTCTATTTACATCCATATATTTGTTGCTAGAAACTATGCCCCATTGATACTCAGAAAATATTTGTTGAATTAAAGCAATTATTTAAAAATATTATTAATCTTTCTCCTTTTGCCTTGGAATCTCTTCTGGGTAAATAAGCTTGGGCATAAGCATTATGATTACTTACTAGTTCTAGTAAAATAGTTGGTTGGGGAAACTTTGACAATTAATTAAAATGAGCTGGGGACTTATTTTGTTTAACTTGATTATCTGTGCTATGCCTGGTGTCTGTTACCACTAATTGTTGTGACTCGTGGTGCTGTTCTCTTCCTATTAAAGACTGCAGTTACTCAAATATCTGTATCTATATCTGTATCATCTATCTATATCTATATAATATATACATGTTTTAAAAAGATATAGACTTATGTTTCTCTTATGTTTTTCTCTTTAGTCCACCAATCAATGACTTTGATGTATTTAAAGAATCCAAAGACCAAAATTTCTTTGAGTCACAGGAATCTATCACTGCTTTATGTACTTACTTGCAAGAGTTGATAAGAACTATTGAAGACCTAGATGAAAATCAGCTGAAAAATGCATTTTTTAAACTTTTGCAGGTAAAGATCAGACCATCTGAATGTCTTTATATTGTTTTGTAAGTACTAGTATTAGTAGTTTATACCTATATATACTAAATAATAATGTATTCTATGTTATTTAAGCTAGTGTTTTTGTTTTTTACCCCCTCTGAACTATGTTTTCTGCCTAATTCAGAAATACGAAAGAAAGAAAACTAGCATACCAGCCCTTGCATCCTAGCTAGCCCATTCTTTTGGAGAATAGTATCTTGGAAATATGTTCTTTGTCCCATAAGTGTGTTAAATTGTACAGAAGAACGGTCCAGTCTGTTTCCTGTCATCTAATTTGACCAGCTACTCCCCATTGTCACCCTACTCCCATGTAAAGGAAGCCAAAGTTGCTTTCTCGTATTGCCCACAATGGGAAAAAGGTTAATTTTGCAAGAAAAGCCTGAAGAATGTTGATCTTTTTCCAAAAGTCATAGCACTTTATGATTGTGTCCACAAAGTACTTTTGGACCTGTTTGTGTCCAACACTTTTCTAGATGCTGGGCCCGTGGTGATGGAAGAAGTAGGTAGATCCTCGCTGTCACAGAACTTGTGATTTTGAAGGAATATAGATAACCAGACGATGGCGCAAACGACTGTAGAATTAAAAACCCAGAGGTGATTTGAAGGAAATGTGCAAGAGACCAACAGAGAACCTGATCTCCGTTTCTGAGTGCCATCGTGTATGCTATTGTGTAGGAGTCGCCAAAAAACTGTAGAAAAGTATAGCCTTGAACACTCTAGCTATTATGTATGCCTTACCTTTTTTTTTTGAAAATTATTAATTTCTTTTCAAAAACACTATTCTTGGTTAAAACATACATTTTCCTCATCTTATGTTTAAATATAATTTTTCTTTTTCTTTGAGGCTGGGTCTCCCTGTGTTACCCAGGCTGACCTTGAACTCCTGGGCTCATGTAGTCGTGCCAGAGCCTCCCTAGTAGCTGCGAATACAGGCACCAACCCTGGCTATTTTCTTCATTTTAAATCATTAATGACAGTAGAACCTCTTTTGACTAATATTTACTGAATACTTATATGCCATATATTTGATACATTATTTACATGTATTATGTCAGTTCTCATGATACGGTCACTGAATAAAATACTAGTGTCTTGGTTTTTGTTTACAGAACCTGAGCCTTAGAGGTTTTAAGTAATTTGCCAGTGGTCATTAATTAAAGATACTAGGCTTTAAACCCATGTCTTGACTCCAGAGCCTGTACTCCTAAACATGTAATTTTTTTTTTGGTATTGGGGATCAAATTCAGGACCTTGCACTTGCCAGACAGGTGCGATACCACTGAGCTACATCCCTGGCCCTGTAATTTTTTTGATATTTTTCCATTTCTTGAGACAAGCTCTTGCTATGTAGTTCAGGCTAGCTTTGCACTCACTGTGTAGCTCAGGCTGGCCTTGAACTCATGGTGACCCTCCTGCCTCAGCCTCCTAAGTGCTGGGCTTACAGGTGTGTGCCCCCACACCCAGCTGTAATTTTATAATTTAAGAAAAAATAGGGCTATATTCCCTTTAAAAAACAAAAATAACAGTATTATTTCAATTTAAAGCCAACTAATAATTGATTACACCAAGTGTACAATTAACATCACCCTGGTTAAAGTTTTGGCTTGAGATACTATTATTTCCAGATTCTTTTTCTGTTTGTTTGTTTTTTGTTTTTTTTTGAGACAGGGTCTCACTATGTAGTTGAGACTGACCTGGAATTCACTATGTAGCCCAGGCTGGTCTCGAACTCACAACGATCCTCCTGCCTCAGCCTCCCAAGTGCTGGGATTACAGGCATGCACCACCATGCCCGGCTTTTCAGCTTCTTTATTTTACAATCTCAGACAGGTTACCCTGTTCTGAAGGTTATACAATTAGTAAAAGAAACCGGGCAATTTGGGGAGGAGCGTAGGAAAGAAAAAAGGAAATGTTTTATTTTTCTCTTGACTCCCCAGTGAGTCTGAGCCTCTCTTTATAGTATCCAATGATTTTTTTTTTTCCTGGTACCTCAAACTCAGGACTTTCCTCTTGCAAGGCAGGTGTAGTGCCACTGAGCTAATCCCCACCATGATGATGTTTTAATATCTGTATGATGCAAAAACTTCCCTTCTGAATAGACAGGGGGACTAAAATCATGCCAGTCATTTTTTTCAAACATCCGTTACACATTAACAAAAAAATGTCTCTGTTTTACCTAGTAGTAGAGCATCATGTAAATATATTACATTATTAGAGAAACTAGACTTGGTAGATATTTTATTTTTAGAAATAAATATAAATATAACCAATATTTGAAGCAACCCCTCCCTTTACCTCCTACACCATGGAGGTTTTTTTGGTTACTCAAAAGGATGACAATTTTGTTCTTCTTCTTTTCAGATTTCACTCTGGGGAAATAAGTGTGATTTATCTTTATCAGGTGGAGAAAGTAGTTCTCAGAAGACCAACGTAATGAATTCCTTGGAAGACCTAAAACCTTTCATTTTAGTCAATGACCTGGAACATCTTTGGTTGTTGCTTAGTACATGCAAGAAAACCAGGGAGAAAGCATTGTTGAATAGAGTGTCTATTATTCTGGACAATGCTGGGTTTGAACTTGTTACAGATTTAGCACTAGCTGACTTCTTGTTGTCTTCTAATTTGGCCACTGAGATTCATTTTTATGGGAAAACTATCCCGTGGTTTGTTTCAGACACTACCATCCGCGACTTTAATTGGGTAATTAAACAGATGAAGCACTGTAATCGTAAGTGGATGTCCAAGTGCGGGCTTGACTGGGAAAACTACCTCAAAGTGGGTAGATGGGTTTACCATGATCATATGTTTTGGACTCTGCCTCACGACTACAGTGCGATGCCCCAGGTTGCCCCTGACTTATATGCTGAGCTACAAAAGGCGTGTTTAATTTTATTCAAGGGTGATTTGAATTACAGGAAGTTGACAGGGGACAGACAATGGGACTTTACTGTTCCGTTCCATCAGGCTCTGAATGGCTTCCACCCCGCACCACTGTGCAGCATCAGAACATTAAAAGCTGAGGTTCAGGTGGGTCTGCAGCCCGGGCAAGGGGAGCAGCTGGCGGCTTCTGAGCCTCACTGGCTGACCGCTGGGAAGTACGGCGTATTTCAGTTTGATGCTCCGCTCTGACTTGGCTTCGGGACTCCCAGAGTGAGGAACGTGGGGAAGCACCTTTCCCTCCCCGGAAAAGCAGTGAGTGAACTGAGTCACGGACTGCACTGCTTTAGCTCTAGAAAGCTTGGCTTCTCCGGGTTCTTCTCCATACACTCTGGGTGGTTTCTCCTCGGAATATTTTGCCTCACTGCAATGTTTTGGAAATAGATGGTTTTAAGTTAGTTACAGGTTTTACATTTATGTTGGAATTTTAGTATCTGTTTCACATTAAATGCATAATTTCAAGAGATTTTTTACTTTATTTTTGGTACCGGGGATTGAACTCAGGTCCTTGCGCTTGCAAGGCAGGCCACCGAACCACTGAGCTAAATCCCCAGCCCTCAAGAGATTTTGATGAGCTTTTTTTTTTTTTGTACCGGAGATCCATCTCAGGACCTTGCGTTTGCGAAGTGGGTGGTTGCACCACTGAGCCAAATCCCCGGCCCTTGATGAACTTATTTTTAATTGGATAGAAAGCAAAATATAAGTGAATTCTGCTTTTTAAGTTTGTTAATCCTATTTTTTAAAAATAGTACACTGTATGGTATTTAATATTGTAGGAGGAATGGAATTTTATTTAACTTGATTTCAAGTTCTCGAAATAATGGCTCAGGTGAAAATATGCATTTTAATGCTTTTGTAAAGAGATGCATTTCTTACAAATGTGATGCTTGAACACATCAAAGGAAAACTTACCTCATAAGTTAATTATAACTTTTGTTCTCCATGGATTTTATTTTATTATGACAGTCTGTTTTATTTGCATGTATTTGTAATTTTGATTGACATGTAAAATGGATATTCAGAAAGAGAAAATTGAACAGAATGAAACAAGCAGTATTTGAAAAAATGTAGCATCCTTTACATTTTATTCATGATATCCATAACATAAAACACATAAGTGTTTTAAATGAACAGATTTTAGTTTGCAATTTTAGAAAAATGCTTGATATAGAAAAGATTCCTATGGATTGACTTTGGATACTACCATTCTTTTTTCATATTACACATTGTGTTGGTCATCATCACAGATACTAATAACTATAAACTGGTTTGTTTTGAAACTTAAATTGGAAATAAACCTGGAAATTTTTTCTTGCACTGGAATAATAAAATATGCTGAAAAACTTCATGGCTTTATTTTCTTTCTTTCTTTCTTTCTTTCTTTTAATATTTAAGTGATTTAAAAACTCAAATACTAACATATTTACATAGGAGAGTAAGAAAAAAACAGTCCTTAGCTCACACATTGCCCTTCCAAGGGAGAGGATCAGAAAGATCCCATGTGCTCAGTGGTTCAGTAAAGGCCAAACCAGCGTCCCTAATGAAGTTCAAGTAGGACATGTAGTGTTCAACTGAAAACAAATTTCTTTTTCTTTTTTGTTTTTTGGTGAAGAAGCATTATGTATTATACAACAACTGTTATAGGACACCAAAATTGAGGCATCCTTTGAAAAATATTTAAAAGGAAACATATGCTTACAAATACCAAATAACAATACATAAGACTGAAGCCCCCCCCTTTTTTTTTCCTTAGAAAGCAATACAACTGAAGGCAGCAGGCAGTCATTTCACCCAAGGCAGCTGAGAGTCACACTTAGCGCCAGAAAACCTGAAGGATTTCTGCTGCTTTCTCATCCAAGGGATCCAATTTCCTTAGAACCTCATCAGCTGAGCAAATCCACAATATTCTAATCTGTACAACCAGAATCTGCACGGGTCCTGACAGTGTCCACACTGTGAACAAAGAAACAGCCTTAGCTTGGGCACTAAAGGCTTTTCCGCTTCCTGTTCTTACTGATGTGAAAACTTCAGGACCTGGAATGGACCCACTGGGGGAATGAAGACCAGCTCCTAAGACTTATTAAAGAATAACATTAGACTTATAGAGAATGAGCAGGAAGATTTCTGAACCTAAACAATTACTGAAAAGAGAGGAGCATTTTGATGTGCTGTTCTTTGGAGTTTCTATAATTAAAAAATAAACACAGAACTATTTCCTAAGAAAATACATCTTAGTGTGCAATCCAATGCACATGGAAATTAGTAGATGAAAGGTAAAATGCAAAAAAAAGTATGAAAATACAGTGTTTTAAATGTGGCAATAAAGTTGGACATACTGATATAAAATCAATACAGATAAAATAAATGTGCAAATGCAAAAATTTTCCATCATTTAAGAGGGAAAAAAAAAGTGCCAGCTTGCTTGCTCTTTAAAATGGTTCCCTACGTAATCGTTCAAACATAAAACAGACATATGCAGCATTCAAAATAACCCTCTTAGCATGCATGGCTTTATTTTCTATTGGGGGAAAATTAAGAGGGGAAATTTAGGATGAGATCTATATAATAAAAACATGGTACATTATAAATATGGCCCCAAATAGCTATTAAACAATATGATTTAATATGGCGATATAATCTATGTTTTGCTAAGTGCTTAAAATTTTTTGTACAATATACCAAGTTGTACATTTTGAGTTTCCTCTTCTGTCTCTCTCTATTTTGTTTGGGGGGTAGGGGTACCAGGGATTGAACTCAGGGTCTTAGCTTGGGAAGCAGGCAGCAGCACCACTCAGCTAAATCCCCAGCCTCTTGTCTATATATATATATATATTTGTGTTTTAAACTTCGTTACTAAAATGCTCAGCATTTCGGAATTATTTGTTGACACTTGATGTAACTAAGAACACAGTTTTATATTTGGATTGACTTCATAGCCATGGTGTGAGCCATTATATATTACATTTTCTAAAGCGCTGGTGGTTCTTTCTATTCTTACTGTATAATTTATTAAGAACATGACATGACATATGAGGAAGTAATTTACTGCCCAGCCACCCACAAGAAAGAGACCAAAGAAGCAAACTAGTGCAAGAGAGAAAGGTGGGTCTGTGGAAGAGGAAGTCAGTTCAATGGGACTTTTGTAAATGCTTAGCAGGAGGGAGAGTCTTTATTTTCACCTGTTGATTTAGTAGGCTTATTGAAGTATAATTTGCCCACAATGCATTCAGTTAGGGCACAATATTTTAGTATATTTACAAGGTGTGCACCCTTAGTATATTTACAAGGTGTGCACCCATCACCACAATCATAATTTCAAAACATTTTTGTCACCCCTAAAAGAAACCATGCACCCATTAACAGTCATTTATCTTTGTTCTCTTCTTAACACTTGGTGACTACTAATCTTTTTGTTTCTATGTGTTTACCTGTTCTGGACATTTCATATATATAGAATCATAAATCATATGGCCTGGTGTCTTTTGAAGGATCATCAGATGTAGAATGTCATCAGTGCTTCTTTTTTATGGCCAAGTAATATTCCATTGTACTGATATACCACATTTTATTTGTTAGTCAGTTGGTGGACATTTGTTTCTACTTTTTTGAATAGTGCTGCTGTGAACATTCAAGGACAAGTACCGGTGTGAATACGATTTCAGTTATCTTTTGTATATATGCAGGAGTGAAGTTAAATCATCTGGTAACTGTTTTGAGCAGCTGCCAACTTGTTTTCCAGTGTTTTCATTGCTTTATATTTCCTCTAGCAGAGCACAAGGGCTCCAATTTCCCCACATCCTTGTCAACAGTTATTGTTGATTTTTTTTAACTATAAAGTATGAAAATACAGTGTTTTAAATGTGGCAATAAAGTTGGACATACTGATATAAAATCAATACAGATAAAATAAATGTGCAAATGCAAAAATTTTCCATCATTTAAGAGGGAAAAAAAAAGTGCCAGCTTGCTTGCTCTTTAAAATGGTTCCCTACGTAATCGTTCAAACATAAAACAGACATATGCAGCATTCAAAATAACCCTCTTAGCATGCATGGCTTTATTTTCTATTGGGGGAAAATTAAGAGGGGAAATTTAGGATGAGATCTATATAATAAAAACATGGTACATTATAAATATGGCCCCAAATAGCTATTAAACAATATGATTTAATATGGCGATATAATCTATGTTTTGCTAAGTGCTTAAAATTTTTTGTACAATATACCAAGTTGTACATTTTGAGTTTCCTCTTCTGTCTCTCTCTATTTTGTTTGGGGGGTAGGGGTACCAGGGATTGAACTCAGGGTCTTAGCTTGGGAAGCAGGCAGCAGCACCACTCAGCTAAATCCCCAGCCTCTTGTCTATATATATATATATATTTGTGTTTTAAACTTCGTTACTAAAATGCTCAGCATTTCGGAATTATTTGTTGACACTTGATGTAACTAAGAACACAGTTTTATATTTGGATTGACTTCATAGCCATGGTGTGAGCCATTATATATTACATTTTCTAAAGCGCTGGTGGTTCTTTCTATTCTTACTGTATAATTTATTAAGAACATGACATGACATATGAGGAAGTAATTTACTGCCCAGCCACCCACAAGAAAGAGACCAAAGAAGCAAACTAGTGCAAGAGAGAAAGGTGGGTCTGTGGAAGAGGAAGTCAGTTCAATGGGACTTTTGTAAATGCTTAGCAGGAGGGAGAGTCTTTATTTTCACCTGTTGATTTAGTAGGCTTATTGAAGTATAATTTGCCCACAATGCATTCAGTTAGGGCACAATATTTTAGTATATTTACAAGGTGTGCACCCTTAGTATATTTACAAGGTGTGCACCCATCACCACAATCATAATTTCAAAACATTTTTGTCACCCCTAAAAGAAACCATGCACCCATTAACAGTCATTTATCTTTGTTCTCTTCTTAACACTTGGTGACTACTAATCTTTTTGTTTCTATGTGTTTACCTGTTCTGGACATTTCATATATATAGAATCATAAATCATATGGCCTGGTGTCTTTTGAAGGATCATCAGATGTAGAATGTCATCAGTGCTTCTTTTTTATGGCCAAGTAATATTCCATTGTACTGATATACCACATTTTATTTGTTAGTCAGTTGGTGGACATTTGTTTCTACTTTTTTGAATAGTGCTGCTGTGAACATTCAAGGACAAGTACCGGTGTGAATACGATTTCAGTTATCTTTTGTATATATGCAGGAGTGAAGTTAAATCATCTGGTAACTGTTTTGAGCAGCTGCCAACTTGTTTTCCAGTGTTTTCATTGCTTTATATTTCCTCTAGCAGAGCACAAGGGCTCCAATTTCCCCACATCCTTGTCAACAGTTATTGTTGATTTTTTTTAACTATAGCTTTGCCATTGTGTGTGAAATGGTGTCTCATTATTTTAACTTATATTTCCCTAAATAATAGTGACATTGAACAGGTTTTAGTGAACTTATTGGCCATTTGTATATTCTCTTTGGAGAAATGTCTTTCATTCCTTTGACCATTTAAAAAT